GAAAGATTTTCCTTCAAAAGAAGGTGTCAGATTATCAAGAATTTCTTTTTCTTTTAGTTGAAAGATAAAGTTCAATTTTTAGAAAATTCTTTAACACAATTCATTAATGAATTTGAAATTGAACGAAAAAAATTAATTGAACAAAATCGAATTGAAACGGAATCGTCTAAAAACGAAGTAATTAAATTACAACGTGCTCTTGAATTAAAAACAAAAGAAATGAATAAAATAAAAAAATTAGCAAAAACAATTATTGAACAACGAACAGAATTAGAAACATTTTTTTTGGAAGCATTACAAGGTGTTAAACGACAAATTGCTGTTAACAGGTATCAAATATATGGAAAAACGTGCTTTACGATGGAATTATAGAAATATTTTGCTTAATTTTTCTTACAGATTGCAATATCGAAAAGATGCACATCAAGCCTATCAAAATCGAATGTTGGCCGCTCACGGAGGACATGCAGATTATCCAAAAGTGCGAACATTCAATGAAACATTTGAATTTAGTACGAATAGCGTCTTTCATGACTTGGAAGAAGCTGAAAAATGGTAAGTTAAATAGGAATACCCATTGAAAAATTTTTGGTTTCAAACGACCAAACACATGATTAATTTCAGAAAGAACCGCTCAAACGGGTTTAAAGTTAAAACTCATTTAAAACGCCTTTTTGAACGCTCGATGAATGAAAAATTACGTTTAAACTGGGCTGGAGAAAAGAAGCGTTTAAAAATTAATCTTGTTTAAACATACGTTCTGTTTTCTTGTCCGAAAAGAAAAATTAAAGCAGGAAAAAAATTCGAAGTTATTCTAAGTATGAAAATATTCGCACTTATAGTTAGTTACACAAGAGTGTAAAACAAAACGATGATCAAGAATTTCCAAGGCCTTGGTACAAGAAGTCAAGAAATTACAAGACGTTCAAAATCGTGACTTCTTGAACTTTCTTGAATTCTGATCCTATAAAAAAAATTCCAGTGCCGCACCGGTAAAAATCCGTGCGCACCGGTGCGCATGGCATCCCATTGGTCACTGTCAATGGGTGGCACCGGTGTGCACCCGTGCCCAGCATAGATTACGAGATAGATAAATCGAAGAAGAACTGCCAAAACACAAGACATTCCGTTCGTCGAATTAATAGCGAATGCATATATGCTTTTCCAACTGAAATTTACTGGATAAATCTTTCAGAATAAATTAAAATTTTAATTAGTTTTCGTTTGCTGTTTTTAATTTTTTCTGCAAAGTTGGAGTTGACGCGATAAAAATTAAATTTTAATTTAATTAGATTTCATAGTGACGACATCTATTCTCGCATAATTGATTTTGTCTAAAAGTGCAAGTTTGCAGAAAAAATTGAAAAAAGCAAAGGAAAAGTAATTAAATCTTAATTTATCCTGAAAGTTTATCCAATAAATTTCAGTTAGAAAAAACATACTTCAAAGTGCATTACTGAAATTCAATCCGCTTTTAAAAGTATGAGTTATCAGCACTCAGGCCTCTCACCATAAAGCCAGTGACCTGTTTCATAATCCTCTATAGAGACTTTGTGATGTCGCGCAGTCAATTTTAAACCGTGAAGAACCGTGGTTAAGAAAGTCATAAACTACTATCCATCCCAAAATACAAGACCCGTGGGCATTTTTTGAATAGCTATTGATAGGAATGAGATAGAGCCCTGCGATTTTCGC